CTCTCTAAATATGTCATTTTGGTTCAATAAAGCAACTGTCCTTTTATTTTACTGATTTCTACACTTCCAGAACACAGATAATACCGGTAGAGATACTATAAAGACAAATCTGCATTCACGATCTTCCACTGTTCCGACTTTCACGAAATAGATGATCACTGTTTTTCAAAAAATTTCGGATTACAGTTTTCATTATCTACAATCTTAACGTTCAACGAAATGACGTCAAAATAAAGAGAAACCACTGGGAACAAGCTTTTCAGTTACTCTTTCGACTGCTACACAAAAGCGCAGATTTCTCGACCCCTCTCACTGAAGGAGCACCACACAAACGTAATTTAGATAATTTGATTCTTCACAGGTTTGTGAAAAATGACTTTCGTTCTCTTCATACAAATATACCCTCTCTCTGCCGCAGACATACCATATATAACGAAGTTAAGAGGCACTTCATCAGGTCTGAACTATATTGGTCAGGCTTTATTTTTGGTATTGAGCTGTATGTTTATGACTGGTGTCAATTAATATTCGGTCGCGAACGGATACCAATGACAAATTGCTGTGTGAATTCAATACTATTTGTTATAATAAGGCGCTACAGTGAATAGAAGAACGGATTACATTGTTAATTATCACACGGCATCCGCTATTCCATGACAATCTTTAGTTTATTTCAGTGAACTGAATATCACGTCACCCCCCCCCCCCCCTCTCTATGATTATAAATCAAGAGAACCTCAGAATATTAAGGCTGCTATTCTTTTACTGTATTTCAAACTGTGATGACTAAATTACATTATGTGCTGAATTAAATCGTATGTCCGCTGCTTCCCGACCCATTTCTACCATGCTCAGACTTCTTCTATACAAATAATCAGGGTAGGGCTATGGAAGCTTAGAGCTTGTTAGTTGGCTGAGTTAGTGGTTTAGGTAAAGTGTAAGAATTACCTTCGTGAATGTTGCTAAGATCAAAACTTGATCCTAAATAATCTGGCGCCATCCTCTTGGTGTTCATGTATATTAGCTGAAACATTTTAAGACATGAAGGAAAATGCTCTTTTGTCGAAGGTTTTTCGACCTAAAACGGCGGCATGACGGCTGGTAGAACCATCTAGATTGGATCGAGTTGTCTGACTAGAGTCAGTCTACAACAGCGATTATAAGGTCTCCCGGGCTCAAATAAGGTTTATCTTAATACTACCTTATAAACTGGGTAAAACTTTAAGATTTGAAATACATTTGCGTTCTAATGTCAAATCGTCTGGTATCGTAATGACTAACAAAATTCCGAAGTTGTAATTCTCATCGTGCAGGTCTCTTTCATCATTTATCATGAACTCGCTGCTTTGTTTTTAATCAGAGCAGAGTCGCCGTAAAACCAAAATTATGGTAACAACAAGAAAATCCTTGCGAAGAATATGTAATCGTGACGTCTGCCTACTATCATAATATCCTATTTTTGTAATTAGATTTCGTTAATAAGCCTAGACAGAAGGTTCTAAAATAATATATCTGCATGGTTAGGCATGCCTATCGTTATATTTAGCCTAAAGTCAGCCTTCAGTCAGCACGAATTATCTTGGAATGTAAACAAGAAAATCAGCCCAATTAAGGTAAGTTCTTGTTTTTTGTAACTTTGGGGCTCGGTCACGGGGCAGGACTGCTGAAAGCTACAGGAGTTCAAAATCTTAGGTCTAACTAGCATAAATTTCAGGCCTTTCCTTTTTGTGGAACTCGGAATGTGATGAATAGGCAGCACTCATCTAAACCCTTTTCATTCCGTGTACATCCCTTTTACTTATTTACACTTTGTCTTATCCGCTCAATCGAGAGCCTCGCACAGCTAGATGGTTCTCACCACACGCGCTCATCTTTTCTGTCCGGCCGAATTTCATGCTTGTTACCTAGGTGTTTGGATCATAAAAACAAAATCAAAGCAAGTCACTTCCCTTGATTTTGTTTTTATGATCCAAACAAAACGATCCAAACGGGGTCAGGTCCTTGAAATTCTACCAATCGGAGAATACTTCGGTTAAAAGCGGTTGACTCTGGTTTTTTTTTTGTAACCTCAAAATGAATGGAGTTTTGTCTGGATTTGTTTGTAAGCAGGGGGCGGATGCACTGACGTAAACATCCTTTATTTGTTGAGTCTTCCAAAACTTACCTAATTGAGATGTATTCAAGCTAAAATTTAAACCGTTATTTTCAACACACGTTGACAAAGGGACAACTGTTCACGGAAATTCCCCTTTACTATGAAACTTACTTGTTTTTTCAACATAAGTTTATGCGCCATGTGACAGAAATACCGCCTTTGTTAGTCTCTGTTTCGCTCCGGAGACAGTGTTAAGGAAGTGAGGAGGAGAGAGAGGGGTAGAGACTAGGAAAGAGACAGGGGAGGAGGAGAGGCAAAGAAAAAGACAGGGGAGGAGGAGAGGAAGGGTTTGAGTAAAGATACTCCCTCTGACTTCGGTAAAGAACACCTTCATCTTCAACGCCTTCGAGACATGCTTGCGCAACCATATCAAAACGAAAACATGTGTACAACGTAATGTTTAAAAAATATCCCAGCTGGATTTCTTTTGATGAAGTTCTGTACGCGCGCGCGCAATTCCGAAATCCGCGTGAGCCCAGAGCCATAATTGGGCCATAACAGGAAACCTAGCGTGCGAAATGATGCCTGACACACGTCTGACAAGGCCCCACTCTGACCTGAGACTTTTTTTAGATTGAAAATAATCCCTTCAAACGAATCACATCACAATCACGAGTTCATAGTGGCCAATGTTTGATTAAAAAGAGCACGGAAATTTCCTAGTTTCTGTAAGTGCCCCTGTAGCACGAGTTTCTGTTCATTTGATTTGGTTAAATCTTTGGTAAATCCTTTGGGTAAATCTTTTAAGTCACACTAGGTGGCTCGTCACGCGCTCTTAGGTGTAATTCAATATATTTGATAAAAGGCCCTTTGATCAGTTTTTGGTAAACACTCGTGCTCGTAAGAAAATAATTTAGTAAAGGAAAGGAAGGAAAGGTTCAATCGATATCAACTCTCGCCAGATCCGGCAATAATGTAAGTTTGATTTATCTGAAGCATTTCTTAATCTATTTGCGTGTCCCTAATTTCTTAAATCAATTTTTAGTTTCACGGTATTATACAATAATAAAGAAGAAGGCGTTCCCAAAGAAGTTTGGTGCGGTACATTGTATTGATCAGTGGATTTTGTGCGGTCCAGCTAGTGGTGGACAAGCGCCGCTAAAGTTTCATTGTTTTGAAAAAAGCTACCGATATTTGTACATTGTCCAGACCGCGTTCCAACCGTAAGACAGCGAAACCTGAGCAAGTCTAAATTTCTCACGAAGTGAAAATATTATGCAGATCTTCCAGAGAAGAAAGATAAGAGTATTTTAGCAATGATGCAATAGTAGGCATATGTGAGTTATCCATCCAAACTCAAACTATGTCGGTGCACCTTGCAAGTTTATGCCGATTGTTTTCTCACCGGAACTAGTTTGCTTTTCTCACCGGAAGTTACCTACCGCAAGATTCAAAAGTATTCAACCTGTTTGAATTACGAAGGCGAGCGTGGCTGGTTCTTTGTCTCGAGGTCATTAGGCATACTTTGTGTACCCACTCATCCATTGTTTGTTAAGACTCGCTGACCAAGCGTCTTGTAATTTATACAAGCTATCAGCCACATTTTTTTCCTGTGAATAAGTGTCTCAGCTTCAATAGGAAACCCGTTATCGCTTCGTGCGGCAGGTTTCTGTGTACTGAAGTGAGTGTTAACTACTTTGGAACTCAACGTGATTCCGTCCGATAAAATTTTCAATTCAAGCGACAAAAGTTTGTCAAGCCGGCGAAACAAGCATTTGGTCTTCTATTTCTATTGTGTGGGGAACAGAGCGATTGAAGCGGTCACGAATTTCAAGTGATGAGCTGTTCTTAACGACAATCCTTCGAGAAAACAGTTTGTAATCGCTAAAGGTAAGTGACTCAGCTCTTTTATTTGTTGTTGTAGCCCATGAGGATTAAATCAGCTAAAAAAAATGTTCAACTCTGATAACTGAATTTCCTGACGAGTAATTGTTGCGATCCGTCGGACTTGAACAGTTAACCAGCGCTCGTTAACCCGCCCTGTAATTTTATAGTAGTTTGAATGCTCATAAAGACTACTTATCGAATTCCTTTTTTTTCATTACGTATTATGTCTATTATTACTGACTCTAGTTTGACGTATTTTTGGTACACCTTAAGATCGAAATTTTCGTCTCAGTTTCATTCCCACATGGACTCCTTGACCACGTTAAGAGTATTAATTGATTTACGATGAAATAGAATTTTGAAAATGAAAGCAGGCAATTACCACGCAAATTTCCGACCCGGGCTTATGGCGGAAACTCGTCAGACAAATTGGTTATTCATACAATGCGCAACATGGTTCCTACACATGTGAAAGCTAAATCAGACCGTTAATCAGTTTTATTAGAGAGATATGTCTATACTGATGTTTACTATTACAATGTTCAAGATAAGAACTTTTGAGTTATTTTAAAGAAGTAAACGTGTATTATCTGGTGTATGTAACATGATCGAAGCGATTTATAGCGCTCTCTGCCATAACATTGACTCGTGGTGCTCCGCTATTTTCGGCGTCTAGTAGAATTGTTATCCTAAAATTGGACGCGATTTGTTTGTTCAAGATTGTTGTGCTAAGTAAAGTGGTCGGCAAAAGTTTTTCGTATGCTAATCATTTGATTGTTACTTGTCCGATGTGACTTGAGGACATCGGTGTTGTGTGTCAAAGACTCTAAGGACGGCATTTTTCTCTAAACCTCAGTGGAAAACGATATGCGTTGATGAAGTTGACCTCATATTTATTCAGCAAGGACCCCTTTTTTACCGAGAAAAACACTGCTTTGTTTTAAGTTATTGACAAACCTAACCGGAACTTTCAATTCAATGCCGCCAACGTCGAGTTCTTTACAAAAGTGCAAAGAACTATTAAAAGGACCTCGAAGTGTACATTTTGTGACATTTGGTGGACAAACAGAGCGTACTCCTTTATATGATATCTTATGATATTTCCTTTGTGTGGAGAAAGAACATAAAGAGAACAAATCGAAAATGACATGATATTGTTTGAGACTCGGTCAGCCTGTCAACCTTCAAAAGTTCATTCATATGGGATGCTTAAGGATATCTGTTAATCACCAACACAATCGCCTTGGTAGTATAAAACCATTCAGAACAAGTTTAATAATTACAATCCTTAAGAAGTTTCAGTTCAGGAAGGTGCTCTTTCTTAAATTTCTACTAGAAGTCAGGTCTAAAATATTGGCCTCCCCTCTCCAGATTTCATTGTTCTCAATCGTTAAGTTCTTTTCTTTTGTTTTTTCGGCGAATTTCAATGTTGTGGACGTGACCTACTATTTTGTTCCTTTAACCCAGTTTAACGAGCCGACTGACTCACTAATCTCCCCTTTTATCACTGTTTGACTAAGACCAGAAGAATGCGAGAGATTATTCATAAGAAAAAACCGGCTCTGGCGATAAAAGAACGCTACAAACATTGTTATGCTAATGTATTTTAAATTAATCACTAACAAATTCTTTCCTTTGCCGCGCCCTCTTAAAATAATTCTAATTACCTTTATTATCAGTCGATTCAATGTATTCTACCGATGTAGATTTTTTCTGGGGGACGAAAACAATATCGCTTGTTAGCTAAGCTTTCCTTCAATGTCTTCTTTCGTTAGTACCAAGTATTTTATGATCACACGCTCCCCTTGACGCGAATGAAGAGATTCACCAATCATTATTTCCAGGAGGTTTCCTTTGACAAAGAATGATTGATGTCTGACGGCTCAGTCTCACAAATTAACAACCGATCTTTCGTCGTGTTGTAGCTTGAGGTCATAAACTTTACGTCGTACATATTCATGATATAACAATTAAGTTGTCCCTTTCAACTGTTCAGATTCTTTTACACAGTCCTCGATCCACGGTCTGCTTTACCAGAGGTTCACAAATGCTTAGATCTCACAGTTTTCAATCTTTTTAAAGTATTTTCGGATTAACTACGGGAGATGTTGCTCCAGTCTTGGAGAATTCAGTTACAAATGTCACTGATTGTTGCGAAGTGAACAAGTTTTTGTATTTCGGATGAGTCGGTGTTTGTTCTGTCCGATCGAGAACGTGTATTAAAGGTGAACTGGAGGAATTTCGGGTGCACAAAAAAAATCTGGCGAACTTGAAGCCTAGGCTGAAACTCCAGGTAAGATATTGCCAACTATGGTGTAGTTTTCCGTCTTTTTCCTTACAAAGTTTTCTTCTTGTGTAATGTAATTGATCTTAAAGTTTTATTGGAGGTTTTATCGTTTATCATATGATCATCAACGAAGATAATTCAAAGACGATATCAGTGTTTGTTTGCGGTATTAAAATTGCAAATCAAAACCGTCTGAATTATTAACAAGTTTAACGGAGTATGGTAAACGATTGAGCGACTAACCCTGTCTTGAAGACGATGATCATCCCAAACACTCCCGTTACCTGCAAGTTTTGTAATTTATTTAATTTTGAACGTCTCGTAATTCTGTGAATTGTATTGCATTTTCATACTCAAATCTTAAGTTCTCTTGGCTTAGGTTTTATAAATTTTTTATGACTTTAAGGTTGAAATGTCAAAGAAAAACTTTCTTAAAATTTCTTCACTTGAGTTACTCCAGAACTAGAGATGTTGTTATCATTGCTTTTGTTTTCTTATCACAGAGGACAGGGAGTTAATACACATCTCTCAATCAACAAATTTGTAACACTTGCGGTCCTACCGTCATATTCGAGATTTTTTTGCATCTATCTTGTTTGCAAGAACTGTCATTTCATCTGCTTCCTGCTGCAAATCAAATTAAATTGAATGGAATTTACTCCAACTTGCCAGAGTTCCTTAGCTTTATGCATTCTGGCCATTTTTCGGTGATTACCGCTTGAGAGCTCAGTTTGCCGCAATAATTTAGCAGCTCTTATGTGTTTTACACTAACTTCCTCTTTGAAAATCTTCACTGTTTTAGTTACAAAGAAGGTAGAAATCATCTCCTCCCTTTGCTAGATCCATGAAACTTTTCATCGCAATTCTTATCGCAGTAAACAGATAGAGAAATAATTAAGGGTGGGTGACTGAGTTTTCTAACGGATGATCATGGCATGTGTGAGCATGTTTTACTCCTTAACCTTTGTCTTGATCCGTCGAACATTATGCAACAATATAGATATGTATCAAATTCAACAACGTTTAAATTGAGTTAGCTTAAGCCAAAGGGCGGGCAATTTCCAATGGCGATATTCACAGTGGTGTCAAGACATGTGAGGAGGGTATGTGTGGTAGGAGGGGGGCTAGTGGTAAAGACTCTATGATCTGTGTATTACGTAAGACCGAGACAAAGATGTAGACCCCCTTCCCCTTTCTAATCTTAAGCTTGGTCAAGCTTCAACGGCTTAAAGACTGTTTCCAGCTGTTACTTTCGAACAAAGCCTGCCCAGATATGTGGAGTACGTATTTCATCTCGGGAATTTTGATTGGAGTCGATTTCATTCAACAGTATACCGATTGCTGCGCAGGAGATGACAGATAATTGAACTAATAAAGTGATCTAGAGTAATGAGCGACACCGACTTGGAATTGATCCAGATATCACTGTCTTCATTTCATCAAACCCTTGAATGTTTCTACTCTTTTATTTCCTGAGAGGCTTAGTTTTCTCACTGTTTGTTTAACCGCGGCAGAGAAGTGAGCATTGAGAGGTCTATTTGTTAGCAAGAATGGATGTTAGGCTTCAGTCTTCAATGACAGCCACAAGCATATATCACTTACCCACTCCTCTTTTTGGGAAAATAGGTCAAAAGGAGGCCAAAGATGATTGCATAATAAAATAAAATCATTTTGACCCAAGCCCTTTTTTATTTTGGCTGCTTGCCTCTGGTGTGCCTGGCCTGAAGGCGTTTCAATTTTTTCTCTTTTTATCTCTCGTTTGGTCCTTATCCTCCGCATAAAGAAAGCTCAGACATTTGATGCGTTGATTATTTTTCTGAATAAGAATTTGACTGCCTTGTCGTAAAATACTCTTTGTGTTTTTAATGAAACGTATCAAGCAACGTTTCTGTATATTTGAGCAGTTGTGATAGGCTTGCTATCGTATTTCACTCCTCCAGGCTTGCCTCACACGTACAGTTGGAAGAGACAGATGGACACGAATATAACAAATTTTTATTGTGTTGAGTATATCTTTTTCTCGGTGTTACTACTTTGTCTTTGTTCTGAGGTCATATTCATATCCATTTAACTTTTGAGTTTCGAGTTGTGGTGGAATATTTAAGTTATTCTATGTTACACCTAGCAACAGCCGTTTTCAATTTGCATTTGATACCCGCAGTAAGGCTCTATTTTTCGCCATATCCTTGGGAGATTTGTGTTATTCTTAGGCAGAAAATTGTTGCCATTTCGTAGAGGGTAGGACCACACATGTATATGATCAGTAGAAGCTCTCTTTCATGAAAGAAATTCTGTCTGGACTTTTCAATCCAATACCTCTTTTACCTCTTAAGAGGAAGATTACTCAACTCTTGTGTATTTTTTATAATCACCAGCATATTTAAGTATTAATAAACAACTTGTCTAATGTGTGACGAAAGAAACTTCAATTGATGGTAGGCTGTTATTTCTTTGTATCGTGGAATAACTGCTTTTTCTATGTATCAGTTTGGACAGGCACTTCTGCCAGACCCAAACGAGTTTTGATAATAAATCCTGCGGAAGTTCTATATCCTTCTAAGTTCCATAGAACACATCCAGAAAGTAGGGACTTTGTTCTCTAGCATCAGGAGAGATTTTGGATGAGTTACGCAGTCTAGGAACGATGATTCTACGGAAAATATAGTTTAAAAATGAACAAACTTACGCCAATGATAGATATTGCACGGTGGTCAGA